ATATTTATTTTCATAAGTATAAATATTTTTTTTTACAAATTTATTTGAATATATTTTATCCATTATTTCAATTTATAATAGTAATACCAATGCACAGTAACAGTTTCATGATAAATAGCTTAGCATTTATTTTACATTGAAATATATTCATAATTTAGTTATAATCGATGTATTTGAAAGTGGAACGAACAGTAATGTGATTAATGTGTGGATTGAGTGTCATCAAATCGAAATGGCGAAAATGTTGAGCAAGAGTTGAGTACGTGCTTAGTGTTGGTAAATGGTTTAATGAAGCCGTTCAGTTCTGCAGTCCAGTAATTAAAGAGTTTAGTTTAGTTCATTATCCGAATACGAATTAGATAATTAATAAACGTTATCAACCGTTAAAGCTGCCCCCTCGCTGCGCCCTGCCAAAAGGAAATCGAGCGCATATCTTAAAATTTAAATTCCATAAAGTATGTGTGTAAGGATGTGTGTGTGTGTGTGTGTGTGGGTGAGTGGTGGTGTGTGTTGTGTGTGCCAGGAAGCGGTTGAGGTTAAGAGGATGCCAAAATGAAGTTTTTAAAATGAACCACGAACAGCTAACGTTGCCTGTGTCTTTGTGTCTCTGTATATATATATGTATAGTTCCTGTTCCCTTAAGAGTCCGAGCATATACATATCTCTCTCTCCCTCTATATGTGTAACTCTTCCTCTCACGCGCAGTCTACATGCCCAGACCGCCCATGCCGCCGCCCATGCCTCCCATGCCGCCCATGCCACCCATGCCGCCCATGCCGCCCATGGGATTGGCCTCCTCCAGGGGCAGCTCCGTGACAACGGCCTCGGCCGTGGTCAGCAGCGAGGCAACGCCGGCCGCRTCGATGATCGCCGTGCGCACCACCTTGGTGGGATCGATGATGCCGCGCTCGATCATGTTGCCATATTCGCCCTTGAGCGCATCGTAGCCATAGTCCCCGTCGAGAATCTCCACCTTGGCCACGACCATGGCGCCATCGACGCCGGCATTCTTGGCTATGGTCAGGCAGGGCATGCGCAGGGCACGACGGATGATCTCGATGCCCATATTCTGATCCTCGTTGGCGCCTTTCAGATCCATCAGCTTGGCGATGCAGCGCAATAGGGCGGTGCCTCCGCCGGGCACGATGCCCTCCTCGATGGCGGCGCGCGTGGCATTGAGTGCATCATTCACGCGATCCTTCTTCTCGCCCACCTCCACGTCGCTGGAGCCGCCGACGCGCAGCAGGGCCACGCCCGAGGAGAGCTTGGCCAGGCGCTCCTGCATCTTCTCCTTCTCATAGCTCGAGGTGGTCTCCTTGATGGCCTCGCGCAGATTCTCCACCCGCTTGTCGATCATCTGCCGCTGGCCGTGGCCCTTCAGCAGCATGGTGTCCTCCTTGGTGACCACGATCTCGCCCACACGTCCAAAGTCGCTGACCTTGATGTCCTCCAGCCGCACCATGTTCGCCTCATCCCCGAACACCAGCCCGCCCGTGGCAATGGCCATGTCCGCCAGCGTCTCCTTGCGATTGTCGCCAAAGCCGGGCGCCTTCACAGCGCAGACCTGCAGTCCGACCTTTAAGCGATTCACCACCATCGTGCTCAGGGCCTCGCCCTCCACATCCTCGGCAATGATGACCAAGGGCTTGCGCTGGGCATTCGCCAGCTCCAGGGCGGGCACAATGCTCGTGGCCGACTTGATCTTCTTCTCGCAGAAGAGCAGCAGGGCATCCTGGAACTCCACCTTGGCGCCCTTGGAGCTGTTGATGAAGTACGGCGAGATGTAGCCACGGTCGAACTTCAGGCCCTCAATGACCTCCAGCTCGTCGTTCATGGTCTTGCCATCCTTGACGGTGATGACGCCCTCGCGTCCCACCTTCTTGATGGCCTCGCTGATCAGATTGCCCACGGACTTGTCGCCATTGGCCGAGATGGTGGCCACCTGGGCGATCTCCTCGGGCGTGTTCACCGGGCGCGACATCTTTCTTAGGTTCTCCTTGACCGACTCGATGGCCAGCATGACGCCACGCCGGATCTCGACGGGATTGGCGCCGCGTGAGATCTTGTCGAAGCCCTCCTTGGCAATGGCGCGGGCCAGCACGGTGGCCGTGGTGGTGCCATCGCCGGCCTCCTCGTTCGTATTGTTGGCCACATCCTGGACGAGCTTGGCGCCAATGTTCATGAACTTATCCTTGAGCGCTATGGATTTGGCAACCGTGACGCCATCCTTGGTTATCTTCGGGGAGCCCCAGCTCTGCTCGATGATCACGTTGCGTCCCTTGGGTCCCATGGTCACGGCCACAGCATCAGCCAACACGTCCACGCCCTGCAGCATCATGGCCCGCACCTCTGGGCCGAACTTCACATCCTTGGCATAGGTGCGGCACAGCTCCCGGCCCACCAGCTGGTAAGCGAGACTGGATCCGCGATGGAATTTTGAGCATTTCGAAATCATACGCAACATAGCCGTGCACTGGAAAAAAAATGGAAAGAATATTGGAAATACTCGTACCTCACTCAATGTGTATGGCCTCTCTTTCCCTCTCCCTATCGAGTATTTTAAATATTATATGTATATAAAACATACCTTAAACGTGGCCAGTAAAATCTGTTACAAAATTGGAAAATTATTTTCAGAAGTTGTATGTTTCTGGGCGTAGTTGACGCTGTGGAAGCAGAACCTAAAATGAATTTTTAAAATAAACTCCTATAAGTTATTTGCCCGAGCTTTGCACAGCTTGCTCTGCTCTCTCTACTGACACTAAAGCAAGGGTTGCTTGGATCAGCAATTCCAGGGACTCATAACCAGAATGCGACTTTCGATAATCAAGCAAAAATTAACCAATAAAAATTGTGTACTCTTTTCAACTGCGAGCTCTTGTAGTTGACAAGAGTGCGACAACGGAAAATGGCATTGAATAAAGCACAAAATGAGAGCGTGAAAAAAATGAGCAGCGTAAGCACGAATGTTCGCCAACCAAGAAGTTGCTGTATGTGTATACGTGGGAGCATAAAATATGTGCGTGTGATCTCATTTCGCATGTGTGTGAAATGAGTGTGAGCAGGTCAGCTGCACGACTGAGCATGATGAAGGCAGCGTAAGTGATTGAGTGGATTCCCGCTGTAGTGAGCATGATATGCATGTGTATGTGTGTACACATAGCCATTTACGCTCGCTCCTCTGCTCCCTTTTCATTCGATGCAACAGAAGACGAAGTCAGAGCAGCACAGAACGTTGTCAAAGGAATATGTGTAAAGAGCGAATGAGTTAAACTGTAATTGTCATAAAATGCAAATGCGTTCACTTAGCGCTCGCCAATTTGCGCTCTTGTATCGCATTTTGTGTGCATGTGTGCGAAAGCGACAAACCTAAGCATGCAGTAAACAGCATGAGTGAGTGAGTGGACTGCAGCTGTCAAGAGCTGCTAATTAACATATTTTCGGTAGCCATTTGCGGTCTTGTTTCTGATATCGTTGCTTAAGTCATATAGGTATGTATGTATGTATGTATATACATATGTAGCTATCGCCCTCTAATGCCGCGCAAGGCCGCAGAGAGCATTAGTGAAGCGAGTATTCATTGAAATAGTGGAATCTAAAATGCCTTTGATTTCGATTTGTATAATTGCAATACATGCATATGTATGTGTGTGTGTGTGTGTTTAAGCGCTTAACAGAGAACAAACAGCATTTGTGCATTGAGTGATTGGAGCATAATAGATTGCTCACATAGCATTTACAGTAGCCATTTGGAGTGCTGCTTTTGATCACGATTTGTGTAGCAGAGGAAGGAGTGTGGACCCAGTGTTAATATACCCAACTCGCTCTTCCCAATGGCAAGTATATATGTAGCTTTTGAGTAATTGAGAATACAACACGAATGGATGGTTGTTGAGCGTAAGAGCGAAACAGATCTGATCAAAGTAAATTTATATATACGCTCTCTCATATTTACAGCAGGTAGCCATTTACGCTCTTTGCTTCTATCTTGTTTCAATGTGTTTGTGCGACAGTGCAAGCTGAGTAAATGTTAGCTGAGAATCGACAGAAAGACTCAATCGAGGATACAGTCATATATCCATCCCGCTTACACTACTGACGGAGGTCCAGTTGAGGGAACTTGAGTGCAATATATAGCTAAATGCGCACTGATGAGTATTGCCGTCTTATAGGCATCAACTCATTTTTCAGTAGAAAAGCACTTCTGGCTAAGATCGGTTGTCCTCTCCGTGCGCAAGTGTAGCAATTTTTAAAATATGTTATTCAAAATAGTTAATGCATAAATTGTGAATATGTTTAATTGTAGTAACAACCATCTAATAATTAAATTCGAATGCTCGGCTACATGGCTCGTGCCTTATGGCAACAAATTTTACTGAACAGCTGCCTGACACTTTGCAGGTAATTAAAAGACAAATATTGGTGAAGGGTTTTCCATCTGGCCGGGGGCTGGCACAGGATGTGGGTGGGGCCGTGGCGCGGCGATGGCGCTGGGCTTGACTGTTAACGCCCACACTGAGCCCATTTTGCAATTTAAATTTTCATGAACAAGCGCCGCCATTTGTCGCTGTCGTCTTCGTTGTCGTTGTCGTAGTCGTTGTAGCTGTAGCTGTCCTTGGCGTTGCCCTCCAGTTCGCCGCGCGTCCTTAACAGTTTTCAATTTGCCTGGCCGCTTGTAAGCGCAGCTGACAGCGCGCGACTAGAGCAAAAACAAAGTACAAGCAGTGGAAGCTAAAAAAGAAAATAAAACAGACCGTTGAAGCAGCGCGATATCAAGTAATGCCATGGGGTTTACGCCGGGGGCTATGCGATACGCGATTTGCCTTTCATTGTATTATGGCCGCTTGTCGGCGCGCACATTTCTACGACCATTTAAATGGTTTTCGCTTTTCGGTTACAAATTTGTCACGCAGCCCCCGCTGCCCCGCACCGCCCCCACCACACCTGACGCACCTGACGACGGGGCAATTGAAAGCGGGTTGGCTTCAGAGTGGCTTAGATAGCTGCCGTTGTTACACTAGCAGCCAAGCAAAACGTAAGTGCACTGCATTACACATTGAATCCGGCTGCTGTTTATTCGACTGAGTACTTGAACGAACTGGCGCTTCAGCTGCTCAGCTTAAGTTGTCCGCGGAATAGGCATGAATAGATAGGATATTCGTTATGACTTTACAGGAGTGGTAAGGCCGATGGATCCACAATTCCGGAGAGAAAGACGAAGGGCAATGAGCTGAGTCGATTTTGCTCTGTGCATCTGTCTGTCTGCTCTTCCGTATGTGTGAGCGCGTTGATCTCTTACACGTTTTTGTAGGGTTGTGTAATGCCAGCGCAGAATGAGTTTGTTTCTTTAATACTTTTATACTTATATTCATTAATGCCTTTATACTCTGATACTTTTATACTTTTATACTCTTATATTGTTTTACTGTTATTCTGTTTTACTGTTATACTGTTTTACGGTTATACTGTTACACTGTTATATTGTTATACTGTTACACTGTTATACTGTTATATTGTTATACTGTTATACTGTTATACTGTTATACTATTATACTGTTCTACTGTTATACTTTTAAACGGTTGTACTTTTATCATTTTATACATTTATAAAATTCCTTAGCCTTTTATTAAATTACTTGTATTCTAAATTATACCTTAAAATATTTAGTAAAAAGTCAACTCATAAAAAAAAAAATTAAAAAAACTTCTGATGCTGAAAGAGTTAAGCAGAGTAAAGTTTATTGAAATTAACATTGAAATTACGTAACTAAGACGCCTTTAATTATGAATTGCTGTTTAGCTTTGGTTCCACCAGCTTTTGCCATCCTCTATCAATATCAGACAGACACAGACACAGACAGAGAGACAGGACAGAGACAGAGAGGTAGAATTAGTCCAACTGATGCATCTTATTCAATTACAAGGGCTCAAATTAACAGGCATTAACATAAGCACCGTTCACCCTTGGCCTTCTGGCCCCTCGGGAATTAGTGGGTAGATGGGTGGTTTGAGTGGAGACCGAGACCACGCATCATTAGGAAAATGGCAACGAAATTATAGAAATTACGAGCCGCATAGCCCGGCGGTAAATGAGGCGCATTTATTTGAATGTAATCCATTATGAAATCGCATAATGAAGAGATTAGCACGCATGCGAGCCGCAATTAATAAATGACCCGTCCGTGCGAAAAAAGAACGGAAATAAACCAAAGGCCAGGCGACGGCAGACCAAGGCAGACTACGGCCGGGCTAAGAAATACTTTTGTCTAAGCAAAGCTGTGGATGGCCGTTCGCGTGTCCGACAAAAGAAATCCAATAAATTAGTACAAAGGACGGCAATCATTAGTTTGGCGATGCCACGCATATGACGCACGAGTATAAATCAGTTCTTCAAGCAAAGTGGAAGCCATTCGAGCAGCACCTGCTCGCTCAGCAGACAATAGGCGCAACTCATTAAATTGCTGCCACAAAAAAAAAAAAAAAAAACAGCAAGTTGGAAACCTTTTGGTGGGGGTGCTAGACTGGTAGATACCCTGACTCGAATTGCTCTATTCAAATGAATGAATGCTAAAATTTAGATACAGTAAATGCTCAAAGGAATATTTGTCAAATAAAAATAAAGCCATCGAGTCTAGGTCTCCATCCATGAACATCGCCTGTACCAACACCGTCACTACACTGCTCGAAAATGAAGTAGCAAAAATATTCTTAGCATATACAAATTCTGATTTTTAGTATATGCTAGAATGCTTAACATTTCAATGTATTCGTCCACATATATTCGAGTCCCGATAATTCGAAAATGCAAGGATATTTGATTTTTTTCGATTTACATAGAAATTTAATTATCGAGAACGAACTTATTTCAAGGGGAACGAATTTTCTCGATTCATCTCGCTTTTTGTTTTAGCGGGGTACAAATTATTGAGACTCGCCTGTATTTTATATATGATATATACGAAAATTTCTTTGCTTATCACTCCTTTCCTTCAATTTCTTTTGCCTATTTAATCCATTAATCATTATATTTAATAACTTCTGTTTTAATTACTGGATTTTAATCAATTTTGCAGCTTATGGCTTAAATATTTTTCAGTTTATATATTAGTAAGCTTATCTTAAATATTGGCTACATTTGCGATTTTAATTAAAAGGGATGTATCCGATATATACAAATTATTTAATTAAAATAATCCAAAAGCCACTTGAAACTGAATGCAAATTTGGTAAACTTAAGATCTGTATATGAGATGTTAATTGAATAATTGAATTGCTGAGTTTTGATAGTCTTGGCCAATTCAATAACATGGAAGTCGTTATCGATAATTCATATATTATAAATAAATGCGATATGCATTTATAGACATGGATAAACATAGAGAGAATCTCTTAGACTGTGGGATACATGCGGACAGATGGTCGGCCAAAGAGAAAGACGGACGGATAATCAAACGGGCAGACAGGCAAACATTGGGATTTGGATTCGATATGTATATATTATATATAAAATAGGCGTGGTAGCCCTCCATCTGAATAAAACTAATATACCCAGAACTTACATTTTGACTGTGTTCAGGGTATCGAAATGGCAAAAAAAAAGAGTTCGAGTTTCAATGGCTGCTTATTAGGACATCAATGGATGGCCAGATTTTAATAGCTCTATTCAAAGTTTCCACAAAACACT